AATTAACAATGATTCACTGCCTTGCCACAAAGAAATCCCCACCAAAAATAAAACTCACAGACTCTAATATTTTGTTGAACCACCTTGCGCTTTGTTTCCATCCAGTCTTGCATTCATTTTCCACCAAGATCTCATTCAACTACTGATCAAAGCCTTCTTCAAAACATCACAAAGATTCTGAATGGGGTTAAGTCTGAACTCTGTGGTGTGAAAATGCTCCCTGAAGAAACCATTCATCAACAGAATAACTTGGTCATTCAGTGTCTTCAGGTGTTCAGGTTACCTCCTAATGTTGCTGATCCTGGACCCGACCAACTGCAGCAACCCCAGATCGTAGCACTGCCACCACAGGCAGCTGCAGTAGAGGCTGGGTATGATGAGTCACTTCATCTTCCTCTTTTCGTACCCTGATGCACACATCACTCTGGAAGAGGGTAAATCTGGACTTATCAGATCACATGGGTTTAGGGTTAGGGGTAGGGTCTGGATGCTTGCAGATTGTAGCCTAGTGTGTGGACAGTCCTTAATCCAATTTTATTAGCTTATGGGTCTCTTTAAACATTTTCTCTGCTTTATGCCAATGATTTGACCCTTCTTAAACAGACTAGCATCCTTTCCATAACTCCAGCATGTTTCTTTTTCACACAGTTTTAAGAAATGAGAAGCTACTCATTGCATCAGCTGGGGTTTGCCAGGGTATGAATTAGACCCATCAACCCAAAGAGATTTTTTATGTTCTTGATATGACTGTTTCCAAATAATAACAATATAAAAAATGTGCTGATTTCGATAACCTATAGTGATCACTGACTGTCTCTGTTATCAGTCTCATGCATTCATCTTTTCCTTTTCTTGACCTAACTTCCTGCTTTTTTCTTCTTCTGTCTTTTGCCCCTTCTTTTAGTTGCTATTCTCTCCAACCTTAACAATAATTTGCATTTTGAAGGCCTTCCCTTAAGTACAGTCCAACCAGCCTGTTAGTCAAATTCACCCCTTGTTGGTGCCTAGAATGTGGAATCAGTTTGAGTTGAATTCAGCTAATGTGATCTATTTGCACCCCTACACTAATAAGCACAAACATAAACACAAGCTCTCTTTTGGTTACCTCCATGAATTGTGTGGAAAGTGTCTGCGGTTGCCACGGTGCCTCATTAAACCTTAATGAGAAGGTGAATAATTAAGAATAAAGCTGAGTAAGGTCACCCTGAGTATTTTTAGGAACTGGTCTTTGTTTCAAGATAGAAGTATTTTAATGGTGCTCGACTGAAAAAAAGTGAAGCAGTTATGTCTTAATTCCATTTTCTGCTTTTGCAAGTCACTGTAAGGTGGAAGTGGTTTAAATCAGCAGGGTGCAATGTTATTCTGTTGGATTTCACTTGTTATGTGAGGCTGATGCAGCTCTAGAGACGATGGGCTGTCACTGATCCACTCTGCTGTTTCAGGATTGGTTATAGTCTCAACTTTGTTTGTTGGGCTTTAGTTAATCTACATCTGACCCAGAGTGGAACAAACTTATATATTTGTTTCTAATGCTTAGTTGGCTATTTAAAGTTGGCTGGCCTTGATGTTCAAAACAGTAAATACACTGATCGAAGATGGAAAATGTCACAAGAATCACTATTTAGACACAGCATGATAAGAATGAAAATGCTTTTTTATTGTACATTTGCTATACAGAATCACAACAAAATTTATGTCAGTACAACCCATCCAACACGTGCCTGGGCAGCAATGGCTCCACAGGAGTTTAGCTGGGGAGGCATTGACTTATTTTGGAGGGAAAAGTAAACGAGCTTTTATTTGAATATAAATACACAAACAAACCTTTATGCAACCTTTTAAATAAAATAACTATGTTAATACAAAATAAACAATAAGACGTATAAAATGTTGAGTAATGCATAAACATCAACTCATGTGTTGCAGAAATGTAAGAATCTAATGTTTCCAAATGGTGAAGTCTATTTATTTAAATGCAAAATCAATACACTCAAGTAAAAGCAGCAATAATATTATTCGAATAAAAGTAAAAAGCACAGGGCAGTAAAACTACTCATATAAATATCTTTCTCCGCAAAAAGTTACTCAAGTAAATGTAATCAGTATATCGATAATTATATTAGCAGACTATTCTTGTTAAGAAGCTTAAGGTCATATATTGGCATTAGCTAGTGTTGAGAAAATAAATTTAAAATGAGCTAGTTTTAAAACTTAACATGTCTTGATTCAAATACCCTAATTGTGGTTTTGAAATTAGTAATATATTCTGGCCTATTGACCTTTATGTTACTTGTAGTTCCAGCAGATGGTTTGCTAGGATCGTTTGAACTGCCTTTTGTCTGTGGAAAACAATACAGTGGAAGTTGTAGCTTTTCACACTCATCTGTGAAAGGCCGTAAATACGGCAGGGGTTTCTGGCTTCAGATAGAGGGTCAGAGATAGCTCCTGGTTGGATGAGCAAAAATACGCCTTATTTGAATAAATTAAAGATAAGAATACGCCTTAACTATAAAACTTTCTACACAGAAGTAACAAATCAGATTTTGCTCTTGCAACTTCTCCAAAGACGTCTTTGCTTTTTGTTTGTCGTTTCCATCTTTTGTCTTTTTCTCTCTCAGGTAAATTCATGTGTTGTTTGTGCTCTGAGGTTTCTGATGTTATGTGATGTGTTTGTCTGGTCAGAGTATGCATCTGTCTTGAATAAATGCTGATTATTGTGACGCTGTTATCTCTGCGTGATCTCAGTCTTTGCGCACAGCATTTTTCTGAACCCGGGCATAGAGAGGATTTAACGAGTCAAAAGGTTTTTAAAGTTCAAGAATTTTTCCTCTCTTTACACTAGTCATCATTTAGCTAACATTATCTGGATCCAACATTACTCAACACACTCGGTTAGCTTGGGGAAAAAAATTGTGCAAAGTTTTTTGCCGTGATTCTAACACAGACCTGTCTCTACACAGCAGCAAGTCTCCCTCACTGCCACACATTATGAAGCACCAAAGCGGCATTCAAAGGCGGCTCAGAAAAACATGTTATGACATATTAACAATGGATTAAACGGTTGTAACGGATGAAAAAAGTGCAAGGGGCAGAAGGCACAGTACAGGAGCTTCTACTGTATCAAATTTAGATATAGGAATAACAGAAATGTGGCCACTCTGAGGTTGGAAAAAACCCCTCAGAGTCCAGGGGAGGCACTGCTGACTCTCTGAGCAGGGAATGCTCGCCCATGCTGCTGGGCATGTCCCTGAGACTGCAGTGATTGAAGGCTCTGCCCTAACATATGCACTAATTCACTAATTTTGACAAATAGTCTCTCAATAAATTAGAGGCCAGAAATTTCCACTTCGTAGTTCTCACCTAGTTCTGAGAATATGATCTCCAAACCACGACACCCCCACCTCCATGCTTTATACTTGGTATGGAAGGCTCTATTTGGTTTATGCCAAACATGTCCTCTGTTCTGGTGTCCAAATATTTCAGTGTTACTCATTTATCCAAAGAACATTATTCCAGAAAAGTATAGGTCTTTCTCTATCTTCTCTCTGGGAAACTTTCAGTTGGCCTTCATATTTTTCTTAGAAAGCAAGTTTTCTGCTGGGACATTCTATGAAACTAGTCCAGTCTCTCTTTTTTTTTTTGTAGAGGCATCACATCAACGGTAGCAACAGATTCTTGTAGCTCATTTCTGGGTTTTTGTAGACTACTGTTAGCATCTGAGGTTCTTCTTTCAGAGTGAATTTGCTGGAACGGTCAAATTTGGGCATGTTGCTTGCTGTTTTCTGTGTTCTTCACTGTTCTCCATTAAGGGGACTACCAGACTTCAAGCTCTTTTGCAACCTCTTTAAATCCCATGGAGCACTGCTATGAAACGTTGATAAGCTGCAGTCTTTTTTCTGAAGGCCTTAGGTACCAGTGTGAAGTTCAGTCCCACTGTAACAATGAGCATATCAATCTAAATATCCACGTTTAGAGGGTTGGCCTACTTCAGAATGCTATGTGATTTTAGCCATTTTTAATAGGAATAAATGTGAAAGTGTCCAAATGTATTCCTCCCCTGATTTTATTTTTATCTAGTTTCATTGATTTTTTTTCTTTTCTTGTTTGCTCTTGTCCAGTACATTTTCAAGGTATTATTAAAATTGATTTTAAACATCCATATGTCCATATATTTTTGAAAACACATGTATTGCTTTAGGGAATCCTATTTCTCTAATATGACTATATAGTCCACATCCAGGATGGTGGATGTCAAATGTAGGATTGAACCAGATGAGTTCACTTCTTTTCTTTTCAGTAAACACACAACAGTAAAACTAGCTTGAACATTGTGCATTCCTTTTGGGTAAAAAAGTCACAATTTCTACATCCTATGTTGAAAAAGAAATGTCATTATCAACAACCTTTAAAAAATCTGACTTGGCTGCAGAGCATAAATGTTCATAAATGTATGTTAGCTTGACCTCCTGTCAGTTTGCATCTCATTGAATCTATGATCATCATTAAACACATTCTAATGAAACTCTTGATCACACATTTGCTGCTGTTTTCACACTTAAACTGACCTTTAACCTTTAAGTGCTTCTCACCTGGGCTTAACTTTGAAGTTTTGAGCACTGCAGTACTTGTTGGAAAATCTGTTTGGTTCAACGAAACATTTGACTGAGCAGTGTTGACAGTGCGAACACTGTTTATTTCAGTCACTCACCTCATTGACTGAGCAGGAAACAGCAGATTTAGAGCGTTCTGCTGTTTGAAACTACTAATGTGGGGAAGTTTCTTGTCTCAGCTTTAATGTCACTGGGTGTAATTGTGGTTCCAAGCCTGATATGACTCCGTTTGAAGTAAGTTGTACGGAAACAAAAAGGGTATTTATAGAAAAAACACATAAAGAGCATCTTGTCTAATGTGAAGTTCTGAAATATGATTTTGTTGCCATATTTTGGACTCCGATGAAACCAGAGTTAATATTTTCTTTTTTTTGTTCTCTTCCTCTGTAGTGTGCTGTTTTGTGGTCCATAAGCGCTGTCATGAGTTTGTCACTTTTTCCTGTCCAGGGGCCGACAAGGGACCTGCGTCTGACGTAAGTAAAGAATGTTTACAGACACACCCGCTCAGTTTGTTTTCTTTGCCCTGTAATCCCACTCAGAAAGATGATCTAACAGAAAACTGTTCTAGATAATGTTTATCATTTTGCTCCTAAGTATACGGTCTATTAGAAAAGTATTAATCCTCCTGGAACTTCTAATATTTTGTCCTGCTACAACCATAAACTATTTAGTTGTTCATTTGAATTTTGTGTGATATTCCAACAGTCCAAAGCAATGCATAGTTGTGAAGTAAAAAAAAACACACAATGGAAAGTATGAAATGTTTCTATTCAGCCTTGTTTGCTCTGATACCCTTAAAATAATTTCTAGTATAAAATGTTAGTAACTTTGGAGGAGCTGGAGAGATCCACAGCTCAGGTGGGAGAATCAGCTGTTTTAAAACACGGGTGTCCATCTCCAGTTTACCAGGACTGGGATCCTGCATGTTTTAGATACTCCAACACAGCTTATTCATTTGGCTCAATTACCTCCCATGTTTGTGAATACAGCTCACAGAGGCCTGGTAGTAAAGCTGCAGTTTTTCACTGGGTGGTTTGGTCTGCTTTAAAAAAAAAACCCTCTGAGTTTATGGAGACCTAATACTGTTAAAGGAAAAGTATAAAATCCATTGAATTTGTGCCATGTGTGGCATCTAATATATATATGACTTGCATATGAAATCATCTGTACTTTCTCTGTATCCAAGAATCCAGACTTAAAAATATGTACAAAAAAACTAAACTGTTCAGCAAATAATTTAAAAATGTTCAGATTGAGAAATGCTGGACTTGAACATCCATTCACATACAGTTAGCATCAAATCTGACTGAGTTTGAGCTGTTCAAAAAATTGGGCAAAGGTTTAGTCTATGGATGTGCAAACCTGGTTAATATCTTTCTAAAATAAAGATGGATTTATAAAGTATGGAAGACCATGCCTGCCACACATTTCAGTTTCCTTTTTTGTTAAAAAACATAAGAAAATGGGTAAAATAATCTGTTCACAATTATGCATCATGCAGCATTAAGTCACACAAATGCTGCTGGAGGAACTCTCTTGCACACATAAACAGCGTTGTGGACTTTGGCTTCTTGTCAGGTCCAAGTCCTGTTCGGAAAGGTGCATAAAGTAGAGATGTGCTGCCTGGCTGCTTGGGGTAATGATCCAGGACTCTTCTCTCATGCTATAATTTTATTGAACATGTACTTTATTGTTCCAGTCATGCTGATGTTTAATAATCTCTAAGTCTGTCTTCGAAAGTACCTGTCTAACAATCTCTGATCAGTGGAAACACCCACTGGGAAACATCAGTTAACTTAAAAAAAAAATACATTAAAAATCTGTTTGACCCATAAAATTTTCAGAGGGTGTGACATTTTCTAAGCACCAGAATTATGTCTGGTGCACACGGCACCAGACATAATTCTGCAGAAAACTTGTCTATACAGATGTGTTTCCAGGTGTTGATCTGGCCTCCAGGAATACCCGGGAGGTTTTTCCATGGAAGGAATGATGAGCCACAACAGCTTCAACTGCCAGTTATTTATGTACTAACTGCTGAAAAGGAGCCAGTTCCCACAACCTTTATTTCCTCTTACAAAACAGGCAGCTAAGTACAGTGGCAGTGTGGAAATAAGTAATTTTTCCTTCACAAGCTGATAAGTTACAGCTTTCCTCTGCATATATGCATTGTTATTTAAACTAATTCAGACACAAAGCTGCTTAATTGAACTATCATCCAAGGTAGAAAGGAGAATGTTTACTGGTTTGCTGACTCAGCTCTCTAAGTACAGCCCGTAAGACAAATTAACAACTGATATTTAATATAGATTTGCTAATAATTGTACTTTTTTAAAAAAAAAAAAATTCTCTTAGGACTAAATGACTTATTTCTCAGTGAGATCTAGAGAGACTCATTCACGTTTTTATATTAGTCACATTGATTACTGCAACAGTGTCTTCACAGGTCTGCCTAAAAATCAATCCTCCAGCTGCTGCTGATGTTCTCCCTAAATCTAGGAAGAATCATTTTCTGCAATGATTGCAGAAAACTGCAGAACAGCCAAAACACTGAGTGCCTTTAAATTGTTGAAGAAGATTATAGGTTATAATATTTCTTAAGAAACTCTAGCTCAATCTTCTTCTGATCCCAGGTTCTCCCGGCGGACCGCGAGTAGCCACACAGAAAACAACAATGAGTGCAGACGTCACAGAATTACAGAGTTTAATCCAATAGAAGACAACGTATGAAATTACAACAGAAACTGCAGAACAACAGAGACATACATTCATTTACCTGAGACAAATAGAAAAGAAGGAGAAAGAAAGAAAGAAAAGCAAAGACGTGCAAAGACGTCTTTGGAGAATTGCGAGAGCAAATCTAATTTGTTACTCCTGTGTACAAACTTTTATAGTATAGGCGTATTCTTGTCTTTAATTTATTCAAATAAGGTGTACCTTTGCTCATCCAACCAGGAGCTGTCTTGGACCCTCTTTTAAACTCGCTGCTAGTCACAATCTAAGACCATTTGCCTCCATTGTCTAAACAAAGTGAGAGCAGAGCTTCTCCTGAACTCCTGCTGTTTTACGGCTTTTCACAAATGAGTGTGAAAAGCTGGAACTTCTCCTGATTGTTTTCCCACACAAAGGGCAGTTCAGAAGATCTTAGCAAACCATCTGCTGTAACTACAGGTGACATAAAATTTCAGTAGGCCAGAACAAGTTACTAATTTTAAAACTATAATTAGGCTATTTCAATCAAGACATGTTAAGTTTTAAAACTAGCACATTTTAAATTTATTTTCTTAACAAAATCTAGGCTAAAAAAACTGTCTAGAGTTAATTTGAAACTCTAACAAACATTTTAATGTATATTGATGGCACTTGGCAAAATGTAATGTTAACTGGTTTAGTGTGTGGTACCTTTTTTTACTTTGTATTTTTATATTCTTATAGGTGTGCCGATTGATCGGCCACCGATCATAATCGGCCGATTTCCGTGAAAAAGTATATGATCGGTGATCGCCGATCACGGTCTCTTGCTGCCGATCACACAAACCGATCACCTGCATCTCATTTCCCAGTCTGCCTGTGCAGCTGGTCTCCTCTTTCCTTCACTCTGCGCAAACGCGCAGCAACAAATCCTAAGCGATGTGTAACTATATCTCACTGAATGAATGGGGAGGTTTCCGTGTTGCGGCGGGAAATTGAAGCAGGTTAAAATGCAACAACACGATGAATCTAATATGGCATAAAA